TTAAATGGATATTACCCAAGAAGGGATGTGTTTTCATACAACTAATGGTATAACCAGAAGGCAGTACATCTAGGAAATGAGAATACAGGCTCTGCTTGTTGGTGTGAAGCAGCACTGTGCAGAGAAAGGAGGATGTACAGGGCACAAATTGTTCCCAGCATATGCTTTTGGTGCCGTGCAGTTTTAGTAACGGTTACTATGAGCCTGAAATGTACAGAAAGGAGCACAGCACGTAGAGAAGGGGAGTGAGGTTGTAACTGTGAACGTGCAGTTCTGATAGCTGGTTTTTAGGAGGGATAAAGGAAGTCTGAAGAAGACTCGAGGAGGGCTAAAAAACAACATAGAATTTAAGGAGTGTTATTTATTCAGCTGATCAAAGATATGTTTGAGAGTTGGCTTCATCACTTCACAGACTTATTTACAAAGATTTCTGACCAGATCTTATGTTACTGTCTGATGAAGGTGTGACAAAGTCCAGGGATTAGCAGCTAAAGTTAAACAAATAAATCTTTATTGCCTGGCAGGGAAAGTAATTGAAGGTTTGAACAGCTTATAAGGGGGAAAGTAAAGTGGTCATTACAGGCTGCTTTAAAGTAAAATTGAACTATAGTTTTGTAAGATTAAAAGATAGTTTGAAAATTCTGTTCCTGGGAGAAATTTTGTGGCCTGTGTATGTGGGAGATTAGACTGGTGGTTTGTGACTGTACCTCCAAAGTTTGACATTGGTGACCCTGAATTAATGTTGGTGCCCTTCCGTCCAGGACCACAAATGCTCTTGTGTACTTCTATGATTTTGGAGATTGCCAGTCATCATATATTTTATTTACTCTCTTTCTTATCGTTTCCTTCTGTTTCACAATGTGCACGTCATAACATGAACGTGTTGCCACATGGGCACTGGTGGATTAAATTGGAATGAAAAACCCATGAAATCACCTCACCTTGCTCTTTACATCACCCTCTTCAAGTAGATATAAAAGTCCTGATCCTCATCAGCCATGGCCTGACAGTTTAAGACAGACTGAAATGGGTGCCAGTTTGCTTTTCTATGCTGCATTATGAAGGGCAGCAAATTAATTCAGGAGTAGTTAAGTCAATCCCTATCCAGAGGCAGCAACTTCCAGCAGAGGGACAGATACCTGGAGCAGGAGCCTTTTTTGGCACCCTGAGTTTATCTGCTGCTACCTCTGAGTCAACACCCCACAATAGCTTGAGGTAACAACCTCTAAATTACCTTTAAAGAAATCCTTCCTGAGCAAGTCTGTGCAGTCCTCGGCATTCTGCAATCAGCTTGCAAAAGTTTTTCGCTCCCACTTTTTTCTGCTGATTGCAGCAAAACACAGCACCCATGCCTGCACACATCTCTCTCACCCAGCACATGCCAGGCATAACAAAACCAACCTTCTGTGCATGCTCTGTGTCCGGCATTCACATAGTTGTGATTTATCAAGGATGAGGGCATGCCTAGTTCCTCCTGGTTAACACTGAAAGTCAGCCCCTGCACCGGAGTCTGCCTCCCCCTCCTCAGCCTCTCCCTTCTGATCCGTGGTCTGGAAATCCCTTCTTTCCACACTATTTCTGATACCCTCACCCTTAGGCAGAGTCCCAGCATGGACATTTCATCCCAAATCAAGTCAGAAAATTGATAATTCAAAAAAATACAAAAAACCCCTTCATGGGGCACAGCAGTAATTTTTGTGAGTTATTTTATTTGATGTATGTACAAGGAGGCAGTTTGAGCTAATTACTCCTGATTATTTTTTGAACTTCTCCTTAAATGTACATAAATATTACCTTTTAGTAAAGGAATATGCGAAAATTTACACGGTGCTGCAAATATGTTGTTTTTTCAAACTGAGGATGCACGCTGTTACTCTAACATTCTTGCATGAAATGTGAACTCTCAGTAGAAATGAGGAATTAAGCTATGAAAATCAATGAGCACTCCAGACTCTACTAATACTACTTGTCATAAACACTCTGGCTACAAACCCTTTGTTGTGTAAATCATATACAAATATTTTCCAACAAATAATAATTGGTTTTATCTTTTCCAGTTGTATTCATTTATTGTATAAAAATTCACCCTTCCATGGACTAAAATAGTTACAGCAGGGATGAATTACTTCAATGTAAGACCTAAATATGTAATGCTACGATATTTCAGTAAAAACAAGTCTTGTTATTCTAAAATATATTCAGTATCTTGGCATAAAAGAGTTTATATTATGTAGTTTCATGGTCAATAATTATTCTACACTTTCAGAGTGCTTTATGATGTCTGCAACCCGAGTGTGTGTTGATCTCTGATTATCATAATTTCTGAAGACTGTCAGAGCACTTCAGTTAATGACACAGAACAGAACAGTTTTAATTAAAAACTGTAGTGCCATAATATTTAACTTGGATCAGAAACTGTACTGATATTTCTTATATTGCAAATGGTTGGCAACAGTAATTCTATTTCCAAGTGAGTATTTGTGGGGCCCTCTTTCACTTAATGTTATGAATCCCAGTAGTGCACTGAATAAGTAGAGTTTGTCTTTGTAAGTTTCAGGTAACTCTTTAAGATGTCATTAAAAAAGGAAGTTTTTTGTATTTGCATCAGGTTATTCTAATAATGTGGTGAGATATTGCTACTTTTACTTAATATGTTAGTGGTCTAAAAATAAGACTGGTAGCTGCAAACACCTACATATTAATTCTGCCACTGATAGCAAATCCTTTTGTGGATGTAGGCAAGTCTCCAAATCCCCTCTCTTTCCGTTCTTCAAAAATAGTGATCGTTAGTAAATGTTGTTTAACAGTATTGCCTACTGTGTGTGTCCAAAATGATGTGCACAGCAGCAGTGTGTGCCTGCAATATTTAACATGTCAGAACATAGCAACGAATTGCTTGCAATGCTAAATTTGACTTGGCAAAGCCATTTTGCTCTTGAAGGATGCATATGGCTGATGTGAGGAAACAACAGGTTCAGCACCAAAATGACGCAGAGTAGAGCCAAGTGGCACTGTCTCTTCTGAAGCTCTTCAACGAAACCAAGTAATCTAGGTAACAGGGGTCTTTTCTGTTGATGGTGCTTGAAACGTGGCAATTTGGCTGACTGGCATGACCTTACTCATGAAAAAAGGTAAAGTTTCAAAAGTCTGTCTTTTTTTCAAACTCTTAAGAAGTTCCCTACAGCCTACGCCACGCTGTGAGACTCGGGCAGACAGTCTGCGTGGCAGCTCGGGCACAAGCACGTGCAGTTCAGAAAACTCCTGTCCTGATTATTCCTTGTGTCCCAAAGGCAAAAGGTCCTTTTTCACAGAGTGTCCCCTCTCTGATAGTGTCCCAAGCAGGCAAGAGACATGCTTCTTTGCAATATGGACTTATGGTCTGACCCTATATGGCAATTTCTGTATCTATATGGAGGGATTTACCCTGAGGACTACAGCTAGGATCGGCCTCTTCTTTATTGTCTGGATGATGATAAACTTCCGTGACATCTCTGGCATGAATATTGTCTCTGAGACCACCAGCTGCTAGAGAAGGTGTCTGGGCTTTTTCCTTTTTGAAGCTATTCTTTCAGCTCAAATTACATACTGGAAGTTTATGTCTAAATACAGCCATTTTTGCAAGGCTCCCATGTTTATGGTCAACTTCTGTGGGGCTCATGGTGAGCAATCTGGGACACACGGAG